ATTCATGACATCCCTGGAGCATATCTGAGCTATCACATGAATGGGGCTATAAAAATTATTTCTTTAGGAAAGACCTATCTGCACCTTGTCCCCACAACTCTGATATATGAGAAATGCCATAGAGCCATCTTGGGCTCTGAGTCTACATATGCGTGAGTGTGTGTGTTTAGAGATCCCCTGGACTATAGCCTGCCAGGCTCCTCTGTCCATGGGGTTTCCCAGGCAAGAATACTGGAGGGGGTTGCTATTTCCTCCTCCAGGGATCTTCCCAACCCAGGGATCGAACCAGCGTCTCCTGTGGCTCCTGCTCTGGCAAGTGGATTCTTTACCACTGAGCCACCTGGGAAGCCCTATGTTTAGACAGGTAGTTAATTAAAAAAAACAATTTTACCAGAATATGGTCCCTCCCAGCAGGGATCCCAAGCTCAAGGTTGGGAATAGAGAAAGATAGAACACATGTGGCAAGTGGAGTCTGACAGACTGAAAATCAGACTGAAAATCAAATTCTCAGGTCACCTCCTAGTTGTGTGATCTTAGGTAAGTTAACTTCACCAAGGCTCAGTTTTCCTCCCAGGTAATAAACAAGCTAATAATATCTTCCTCATAAATCATAGACGCTATCTCACAAGTTATTTTGGGGACTGCATAAAATGAAACATGTTAATGGGGGTGTGGGGGAAAAGGTACAGCCTCTAGCCCCCGCCACCACAGACCATGTATATTAGTTCAACCCTCTCCCGGTCCAAGTCCCAGTTTCAATGAGACCATTAATTATCTGAGTGACCTTGAGTAGTTCATATAACCTCTCTGGCCTCAGTTTCCCCTTCCATCAAATGAGGAGGTGGGACCTCCAAGTCTTCTTACAGTTTCAACGTTTCGTCCCACGTGTCACTGTTAAGAGGGGGGCCTGTCCTCAGCCTTTATTCTGTGCTTCTTCAGACTCCCTCTTCACTCTAAATTCCTCTTAAACCTATGGAACATTATGCAAGTTAATAAATTCAGTTTCTAGGTTAAAAAAAAAGTAAGGTGCCAATCCTTTCTGCATGCTTAAGTTGCTCATTTGTCTGACCATTTGCAACCCTTTGGACTGTAGCCCGCCAGGCTCCTCTGTCCCTGGGATTTCCCAGGCAAGACTACTGAAGCGGGCTGCCATTTCCTCCTCTGGATCTTCCCAACCCAGGGATCAAACCTGTGTGTCCTGCGTCTCCTAAACTGGCAGGTGGATTCAGTCCTTTCTAGTTTCTGCCTTATGGATTCTATGCCTCTGACTCTGCTGTCCCCCTCTACACTATCTGTTGAAAGCTGTCTGTAGGCCAGGGGCTGTGTGAGGAAGATTGCTGTCTGTTGTTTTAGTCACTAAGTCATGTCCCACTCTTTTGCTACCTCATGGACTATAGTCTGCCACGATCTTCAGTCCACGGGATTTTCCAGGTAAAAACACTGGGGTGGGATGCTATTTCCTTCTCCAGGGGATTTTCCCACCCCAGGGATCAAACACACTGTCTCCTGCATTGCAGGCAGATTCTTTACTGCTGAGCCATCAGAGAAGCCATGTTGAGAATGGCACAAGCTTTATCACAGAATATATTCTCATAGCAACCATGGGGTGTATTATTATCATGCCCATTTTACAAATGAGAAAATCAAGGCTCAGGAATTTAAGCAACAAAGGCAAGGAATTCAACACAGGCTCTTCTCATTACAGGCTTCACTATCTTCCCAACCTTTGGCTGTACCTAGTTTGGGTCCTATCGTTTTATGAGCCTGTGCTGTGCCTGCTTATCTCATAAATTACTTTGCATTAATAACTTTGTGTGTTCCTCCTGCCAGGTGGCATACATACATATTAACCAGAGACCCATCATCTCTGAACCAACAGAGAACGCGTGATGGGATTCTCAGCCCCTGCAACTGGTAGGTCAAGGTGAGATTAAATACATTTTTCAAATAACAGCATAACTCAAGTCTCCATGAAGATGCTGGAACATTTTAGTTCAAGCTCAAGTCTGCAAGCTTCCTAGATGCCATAAGCCCACTGGTAAAATCACAGGATGGAAAGAAAAGGGCTCAGACAACACCAGGTTTACTCACTGAGTGAACTTGGGTGCATGTCTTAGACTCTCTGAGTTTCTTTTCCGCTAAAAGATCCTGGGCAACTGAACTCCAGATTCTTCATCTGTAAAATGGGGATAACATTAGCAACTTTCGAAGGTTGGGACAGACAGAAGGTGTGCCTGGTCTGAAGCAGAAACAGCCTTTTGGGAAAGTAAAGGAGCCCAGGGGATGATCGGTTGCTGCCAAGAATCAGGGTAGTCTAGACCCAAGGAGAAAGATGGGAATCAGCGAGAGTTTCCCTGGACTCAAAGTGCCCGCCAAGTCTATGTGGATTCATGCCAGTGAGGGTTGGATGACCTATTATGGCTAAAGCCCTAGGCTGATCTGACCCCTGCCTCCACTCTGGTAGGCTACCTGGCAGCTTTTTTCAGGTAAGAGGTTTCCAACTGAGCCAAGTGGTAGCATGTGATCATATACTAACTCTCACCCTTGGAGCACCCTGAGGTTGCCAGGGTAACCGAACTATTCTGGGCTGTCCCTCTGGGATTCCCAACTTCTCTTCCCTTATACTTCTGTGGGGGTATTCCTTCACCCTCACACTCTGCATCCCCTTCTGGGTCCCCTTCCTCTTGCGTCAGGCCACCAGAAGGGAAATGGATGAGAAGAAACTGATCTTGCAACTGGACCTCAGCATTTTATTTCTGTATTATTTTATTTCCTTGGTTGTGGCACTTTTCCATCTAAGAAGTACATTCCTTTATAAAATCTCCCCGTGTTTACTTCCATTCCACTAAATAATTCCTCTGACCTCTTCTTGTTTTTACCCTTTAAATATCTGTTGATGGTTCAGTCACCACATTCCCCATTCAGTTATTAATGGCCCACAAAAACTTCCTAGCTGCAATCATTTACTGATTAATCTGCACAACAAACCAGAAAGAAAGGTAGTATTAATCCTTCGTTCTGCAGAGGGAAACCAAGGGGAAAAGCGAGGTTAACTCAGTTGCCCAAGGTCAGTGGCTAAACAAGATTATAACCAGGATCCAGCCTGTCTTGTATTTCTTCCCACAGGCTTACTCTTTCCTTACAAATCAACATTGTCAATGCAGCGAGATCACTTCTGTGTTGATTCAGTTGTCACAGAACAGCTTGAAACTGTCAAATTCAACCCCAAATAATTCTGTCTGTGAATAGTTCATAAATACAAGTTGTTAAAAGAAAGAGGTAATAGTACTGGAAAGCAAACATGCGAAAGAGGAGTAAAAAGAATGGGATTACAGGCCCAGCTGTACCATAGTATAGTCTGTCACGAGTCACTTTACTTCTCTGCATCAGAGTCACTTGTAAAAATGGGATTATGCTGAATGATGTTTAAGATATCTTGCTATTTTAAGTGAGATGACTGAGTACCTACTGAAACAGTACAAAATATAAAACTCCAATATCCAAGATCGTGGTAAAATTGGTATATTTAGGACACAGCTACAATCCCCCTGGGAAGCAATATGTCAATAAACAATAAGGACCGTAAATAATTCCATATCCTTTGACACAGTAACTTCACTCACACTGTAGTTTGCCCTAAGAAATGAATCAATGGAAACAAAAAGACATATATGCATGAAAACACACATTTCAGTGCTAGCTTCAGAGGAAAAACTGTTACCAATTTGAAAGTTCATTTTGAGAGAGCTATCCTATTAAATAAAAATATAGAACAATACAAATGTCATATTGCTATCAAAAAGGATAAATATGAAAATTATGCAAAATCATGTAATATGTTATCAATACTATCAAATGAAAATAAGCAATAGTAAAAGAGCAAATATGTATTCTGATGTCAACTCTATAAAAGATGGATAAAGTGCAAGTCACAAGAAAACTCAAAATAGTTGCTATTAGTTTATTGTTTATTTTCTAAATATTTTAACCGTTTTTAATGAATACTGTTTTCCATCAACACATACACCTTATCATTTAATCAATTATTTAAAAATCTCTCAAGCCTTGCTTTAGTTCGATGGAAAATGAATTTTCAAGTTTCTGCCTAAATCTCCTAAGTGATTTTGGTTCGCTGACACATTATTCATGACATTATTCTTGCGGAGTGACTTCTGCCCTTTCTGTAATTCTTCAGTGTCTTTAGAGATTCTAAAATCTCAGTGTAATTCCTCAGTGTCTTTAGAGATTCTAAAATCTCAGAACTCTGGCACTTCATTCCCTCACTGAAGAGGATTCTTACAAAGAATTGTCATCTCATGTTGCTGTGAATAACCCCATGATTCCCTTGTAATGCTAATATTTGGCAACTGCCTGACCCAGGAGTCAGCATTTTTCCAGTAACTCCGACCTGTTGGGTGCCCCTACAATAACCACAAAGTTGCCACTACCTTTTTCACAGTAGTGTGTAGGGTGATTTCATAGTCCAGATTTTTGGGGCTTTACAGTAGGACATCTAGGACACCCTTCTGGTTCATTTGGGAAAGTTGCCCCCCAAGCATCCCTGTGCTAAGACCCTCCTTTTAAATAAGGGCTCTGACATCCTCCTCATTCTTTAGAAATGTTCTCTTACTAGTACATCTTTGCTCATACTATCTGGGAAAGATTGTAGAGCCAATGAATTAAAAATATGATTCTAGGTCTCATGTGTGGCAATGAGTGCCCTCGTTAAAGCAGAATGAGTGAGATGAGATCGGTTTCAAAGCTTTCCATCCCTTTGCCCCAGAGCCGCCGAGGCCAGGCGCTGAAAGGATGCACAGTAAAATTAAATATCTAAAAATTCATCTTTAATTAACAGAACTGGATTAAAGCTAGACACCACCGCATATCATACGAGAAATGGCTGAGCTGGCTTCCAAGTGCTCTAATTCAATTAGGACGCAGTGAGTGACACTCGGACGGGAAAGGTTAATTGGGGGCGTCAGAACGCAATCATTCCTTACCTAACCAGTCATTAAACTTCTTAACCTCTGAGGGCAGTCCCAGCTCGGTGAAATCGCCTGTGTGGAGGAGGATGTCCCCATAAGGCATCTGGATACCATCTGTTCTGGAGTGTGTGTCTGAGATGCAGACAAACCGCGTGTGGCCCGCTGGTTTTGGAGTGTCATATGGGATGGGGTCGACCCTGAAGTAGACATAACAGATCCCATAACAGTTAAATATATTAGAACCCTCATAATTGTCATCGCACATACATATTGACTGTTATCCGTGAACACACCCAGACAAACCGATGCAAAGACAGATGGGCCCACTATAACAAGGAACCCTTTGGGGTGCAAAAGAGACAGCATCACCCGTCTCCAAACCCACTGGGCAAATTCAAAAAGTCTTACTTACCTGGTAGGAAAATTAAAAAGCCAGACTATCTTACACGTAGAGTCAGAAGTAACCCAGGCAACTGAGAGAGTGATTAATGGTGAAGTTTAGGGATATTGAACCCCAACTGGGGAAGCAAAATGATATTATCTTCTCTCTCTTCATGCTCCAATTGATCCCACTACTCATTAGGAAATGGATAACTAATTTATTCCTCCTTAAACATGCACAACTTTAGCAAAGAACTAATTTATGGAGAACATTCTACACATGCTTTGCCAACTGAAATGTTAAGAGACATAGTAGATGGTAAGTACTTCTATGTAATTTCCTTTCTAGAACCATTCAATACCTCTATCACGTTTTCAAGCAGAGATTCACATATCAAACTTTGGGGAGGGAAGGTGATGCCAAAGTAAAAGGACTTTTAAATAAAACACTGATGTTCCAAGAACTTTGCCCAGCTGCTTCTCTACCACCACCTGCGGCCCCAGTTACACCTTAGGTTACCTAGAATGCTCACATGCCTTGGGCAAAGAGTCTATTCAGTACAAATAGAGTAAGTCTTTTAATGGGTGTGTACAGATCTACATATGCATTAATATATGTACAGTTTTAGAGACCTAAGCACTGTGAAATTACACTCGGGCATAAGAATCAAAAGGCAAAATGATCCACCCGAAGCAAAGAAAATGAAACAGAACATTCTCATTTAATTGAGTGTAACAAAGTGTGCTAAATAAACTTGGTAAAGCAATGCAAATCTGACTCTTCAAGCATACAGTTTTAATTATTTAAAGGGTTTATAGCAGAGTTAAGGATGCTTTAACTATATTAACTCTACACTGACAGTTTCCTGTAATTTCTCCGCAGGAATATACACTTACGTTGGATTATGGGTGAAAAGAAGCAGCTATCAAAGCAAAGAGAAGGTCACAAGAGAAGCAAATACGCGATGTGGAGATGAGAGCGTAAAATGTTAAATAAGGAACAATATTTCATTTCACCGCCCCACCCTGGGTCATTAACATGGAGCAGAGAACACAGGCAAAGCGCAACCAGGATTCTCTCTACCAGTTGCCTCCAAAGGCTTTGTTTAATTTTTCGTCCTTTTCCCCACTTTTGTAAAAAGAAACAATCTGTTTTCACAATGGCAATGTCTGTGAGAGAAACAAAGGCAGTCAATATGCAACCTGCCAAGTCCCGCATTTCCTTAATGGTTAGTCTTTTATTTCACCTTTGTCAGAGAAAAAGGAAGGAAGAAAAAAGGAGAACTGGAAGAAGACAAAAAGGATGCAGGGGCTGTGAACTGGCGAACACAGTGGGGCTCACTGAAAACCCAAAAAGAAAGTTTAACTTCTGCAAAAACAAACAAACAAAATATATATATATATATACACACACCTGATTTTTCCTGTAAAGGTTAGAAAGTAACAACGCTGTCATCATGAAGAAAATTTACTAACCCACTGAGATCTCATGAGCGACCTAGAAACCCTTCTGATAGTATCCACTGTTGATTTTTTTAAATATATATTAAAATGTTTGTCTTCTTTTCCATTACTGAGACTCTATTATACTGTCTCAGTGGTTCTAAATTGTATCAGTTGACATTGCCTGTTTTCAAAAAGTAGTTTTCCCAGACAATGAAGGACTGTTTCCTGCCACAGCAGACTGTGTCACCCTCTGGAAGTGACAATATTCTATTCCTACACCCAAAGTTAAGATGCTTGCTAGAAAGGGGCTGTGTACATATATGCTGAAACCACCAATGTCTGCAAGAAAATTCATCAACCACTGGACTTGAAATGTATACATAAATTCATTATTTATATATCTTTATTTTCCAGTTCTGTTCTCATTCTAATGGTCAAGTACAGACACAGTCCCATTTCTTCCTTTCTGTAACTCAGCTAAGCTATGGGCACAACTAGTGCATCAAAATCCTTTAAGGCGGTCCCCAGCCTTTTTTGGCACTAGGGATAAGGTGCATGGACGACCATTTTTCCATCGACTGTCGGAGGGGGAGTAGGGATGGTGTGGGGATGATTCAAGCACATTAATTTAGTGTGCACTCTATTTCTATTATTATTTCATCAGCTCCACCTCAGATCATCAGGCATTCGATTCCAGAGGTTGGGGACGCCAGCTTTAAGAGTCTACACGAATTTTATCAGAAAGACATCAGAGTCATCATTTTCAGTTTATAAAACAGAAAGGAGCACAGATAAACATCCTTCCCTGTGAACAGGCTCCTGTGTTATGAACCTACTCCGTCTACAGAAGTGAATCACCGCTCAGTACATGTTGGGTTTCTTAGCTCTGTGCTGGACAATCATTTTCCATGACTATTAAAACATCAGTCAATTTCTGAGTGGTTTCAAGTCCTTCCCCACCTTCCCTCCTCCTCCAGAGAAACACTCAAAGGTCCAACAGAATTAACGGTGAAATAAAGGCCAAGAAATAAAAAAAATAGAAGGGACAGGAAGAAGAGAGAAAAATGAGTCCTCTCAGGTTTGAGCTGAAATAAAATGATGCATCAGAGAGACACAGGATGACTGAGAAGATGTATCCATCACCACCACCAACTTGATGTCATCCAAGAGAAACAATTAGTAGATACTGGGAAAGATATGGAGGACTGATTCAAGGAAGAGGACTGTGGAAGTCCAAAGCCTGGGGTGTGGATGGGTTATAAACATGCAAAAACATCATTTACATACACCCCCTGACCCAGAGGCGCTGATGTCCTTTGCTATCCATCAAAGTACAAGAAGATAAGACAGCATAGCCTGTCAGAGCCACACTGCAGGATAACAGGACAAGTATCACCTGGGGGTCATAGGAAAGAAGGCATTTCCACCCAGAGACATTCAGAGTTGAAAATAAGGCCCCGTAGTAGAGTAGGCAAGTTGCAGCAGATATAATTAAAGTTGAGACAACCCTAGGGAAACGACCATTTCCAAATTGAGCATGTGGTAAACACTTTGAAAAGGCAAGACAGTCAAACATTTTCCTGTAAAAACGTGTTTAAGGGAGACCCTGACAGCTATCAGAAGATCTACCTGTTCACATTGTGGGAAGACCCTCCCACTGCCTGTTCCCTCTTAGTTAACAACCTTACTGCTTACTGTTTATGCTGCTGACTTCTCACATGACCTAACATTTCCCCTAAGGCATCATGTCAAACATTCTAGCAAATGAGTCTCTTACCAAGGCAATCTAACCCCCAGAGCCAGATTCAAATAGCAGAGTGAGATTTGCACGTACATCTGAGTACACCCAGGGGAAAACAAGACGCCATGGGAAGATGAGAAGGAAACACTGCATCATAAAATCCCAGAGCTGGACAAAGCCTTAGGGGGCATCGGGTTCAGCGCTTTATACGAAGCTTGAGCCTCCTCTATCTGTTTCCTGGCTAGCTGACATAAATTTTCTCTCTGAGTTTTCCAGAAAAGGCAAGCCCCACCCCTGAGTCCCCTCCTCTCCACCAGGGCAGCCAATTCTGGTTACTTGCTCTACTTGCTAGAAAGTTTCCGATCCAGAAACTCTAAGAAAGCTGAGCATGGTCCAAAGTGACTTGGCCAGAAGCCTGAAGACTGAGTAACAGTCTGGCTGAGTTACTCATTTTGGGTAAGATATTCCATTCTTTTCATCTCGATTTTCTCATCTATAAAATGGGAATAACACTGCCTAATCTCTGCTGTTTTTGTTTAGTCACTCAGTCACGTCTGACTCTTTGCAATCCCAGGGACAGCATCACGTCAGACTTCCCTATCCGTCACCATCTCCCGGAGCTTGCTCAAACTCATGTGCACTGAGTCAGTGATGCCATCCAACCATCTCATCCTCTGTCATCCCCTTCTCCTCTTGCCTTCTATCTTTCCCAGCATTAGGGTCTTTTCCAGTGAGTCAACTCTTCATATCAGGTGGCCAAAGGACTGGAACTTCAGGTTCAGCATCAGTCCTTCCAATAAATATTCAGGGTTGATTTCCTTTAGGATTGACTAGTTTGATCTCCTTGCTGTCCAAGGGACTCTCAAAAGTCTTTTCCAACACCAACAGTTCCAAGGCATCAATTCTTCAGCACTCAGCCTTCTTTATGGTCCAGTTCTCACATCCATACATGACTACTGGAAAAACCATGGCTTCGACTATGTGGCTCTTTGCTGGCAAAGTTATATCTCTGCTTTTTAATACGCTGTCTAGGTTTGTCATAGCTTTTCTTCCAAGGAGCAAGCATCTTTTAATTTCATGACTGCAGTCACCATATGCAGTGATTTTGGAGCCCAAGAAAATAAAGTCTGTCACTGTTTCAACTGTTTCTCCATCTATTTGCCTCGAAGTGATGGGATCAGATGCCATGATCTTCGTTTTCTGAATGTTGAGTTTTAAGCCAGCTTTTTCACTGCCTAATCTACTCTATCACTATAAGGAAATAAATTGTCAAGTACTGGATCTGACACGCAGCACATGCTCCGAAATTAAAGATACTGAATGATGTAAGGTGGGGTGTGTGTGTGGGGGTAATGTTTAGCTATAAAGCCAGACTATCTGGCTATGAATCTCACTTCGCTTTTATTAAGTGTGACACCAAGCAATGTGCTTGATTCCTGTGTCCTGGTTTCCTTACCAATAAAATGAATATAAAAAGTTTCTAACTCATAGGGTCATCAAAGGATGACAAAGAATAATGTACTGAAAGCACAGAGAACAGTGCCTGACACACAGCAGACTATCAATGTTAGGTTTTGTTTTAACTCAGCAGTAATATTTTTACTACTATTACTAGCAGTAGTTAAGTTT